GAAAGGTCTTCAGTGGCTCCTCTGAGGCCCCTTCTCCCCTGTCAGGAATCAGCTTAAATGTGACCTCCAAGGGTGATCTTCACTGATGACACTGCTCAGAACAGTCCTGCCTTCTCCTTACCTATTAAATATTCCTTCTCTATATATGTATGTGCACATGCACATATCTCCAGTTACCTTACATATATCTAGAATTTTACTGATATATCATATATTTACATAAAGATGTGTACACATATATTATAAGTATAAACATAAATATATATAATCCTCAGTTTAAGATATTTATCCATCCAACTAATGTATTTCACCTGGTATGGGTTTATGTGTTTGCTATTGGTCTACTCAACTTCACTCACACTCCAGAAAATCTGAAACACTGTGCTAATGAATCACTGACTTAACATTGCCATTTGGAAAAAATATGCACATATATGAATGTGTTTATATGTATAAATGTATATATGTTTGCATGTGTATATATGTAAAATATATACAAATATAATAAATGCACACTCACACACACATATATACCACATTGTAGATATCCCCAAGCACTTGAGGAATTATTAACGAGAGATTAAATTGATGATGAAACACCCAGGGATCTGGTTGAGCTAGAGTGAAAAGGGGGGCAGCCCCAGACTTTCACCCCTTTATGCCCCTGACATCAAGAGCCCATGACAACCAACCCCTCATCCTTGGATCCTGGATCTTCAGATTTGAATAAGTAGAGACTCATCTCCAAGGGATTCAGCTTATATGGTCCTGTATCCCAGATTGAACAGAGAACGCACAAGAGCTCCATTAATTCTGAATCGGAGAGAAAATTGTTCTGACCTCTTGGGGCACCACCAAAGTGTGTTCCACTGAGATGAGACTCAGAAAGGAGACCTGAATTCACATAACACAGGGAGCCTGGGGAATCCAATGAGCCCAGAGGAAACCTGGCTTCAGCTGAGAAAGGGTTAATTAAGGGAACACATAAAACTTATGTTGTGATAAGGTCAGAACCAAGAACACACAGAAAGGCTGGACTTGGGACTCCTCACTCAGCCCCTCATTTTATGAATCTCAGAAGCAGCTGACACCACAAGCCCATCACAAAACAAGTCAGACCCCAAGAGTGGTGAGCAAGAGTAATTCTCAGTTATGGGGTTGGTGCAGAGGGTCATGACCTGTCAAGGGGAGGTAGGTGCCCTGGGTGGACATCCAAGGATCCTGGGGTGATTTTGATCTGCCCTGACCTCCGTGATCTCTTGTCCAAAATTTCTAGCCTCGCATCCTCAAGACTACATAGTGGAATATCTCATCCAGGTGGGAATGACTTGCTTCATCTTGGTGGTCCTCGGGATTCTGCTATTTCAGGCTCTGCACAGCCAGAGAAGGAACTAAGATGCAGCCAGGAGGTAAACACAAGAGAACAAACCCACAACTCAGTGAGGTAGAAACTTGAAAATTAATCTTATGGACCCAAGATGTTCTGAAAGGAAATATGCAGCATATATTGGTTGAATTCTCTGCTGAGAATATCGAGGAGGTAAACATGGTTTGGGTGCAGGAAAATGTCTGGGTGTCTCCAGTCAGGATTCTTCCTCTATTAAACCATGGTGCTTTCCCTCCCTGCCACTGCTGACTCTCCTCGATTGCCTTCTTTCTTTTCTCACCCCTATAACATGAAGGTACATACAACATGGCAGGTTTGGATCCACGCCTATACACACTTTCTTGCTCTGGACTGCCTTTTATAAACAAAATCTGCTATCTCCATCACGTTGAACTTTTATTCAGCCATAAAAGGAACGAAGTACGGATACACACAACAGTGTGAATGAACATCAAAAATATGAATCTAAGTGAAAGAAGCCAGACACCAGAGATCACATTTTGTAGGATTTCATTTATATAAAACAGAGAGAAGAAGAAAACCCATGGAGACAGAAATCAGATGTGTGTCTGTCAGAGCCTGAACTGGAGGAGGGAGTGGAGACAAGCTTCATGTTTCTTTTGGGGTGATGAAAATCTCTTGGAACTAGAGGAAAGCGGTGGTTGCAACATTGTGAATTTACTAAATTTCGGTGAATTATGTGCTTTACTAAGGACAATACTGTGTTATGTGGATTTTACATCAATAAAAAGAAAAGTAAGTAAAAAGGACCTGGTTCCCTATAAATCTCTTGTACTTTAAGAAATTGCCCCATGTTCCTGTGGAGTTTTATCTGTGGTAAAATCCTCACCAGCACAGAGATGCTCCAAGTACCATAGAGCTTAGGAACGAATCCACTGATGAAATTTTCGCCTTCACTCTTGATTTGGTAGAGTATAGAATCCAGGATGAGCACCATCATTCTTGCATCCTTTAAGTCTTTGGTTATCTGCAATTCGACCATGGATGTGATGTGGCTTCTCATTTATATTGTTACTTGGCTAGGAGGGCAGATTTGGACACTTCCAAGTATCCCTTCCTACCATATGTCTCTTACAGCACATGTCTTAATCATGTCATAGAAAAGACATCAGATCAAGACCCTTCCATGTCTCAGACACTACTGACCCTACAACAACCCTGAGAGCTGAGGTTGTGATCATTTTTTCCCGCAAAAAGGAAAACAGGAGAGGGCATGTTACTTGCACAAAGTACACTGTCAATAAATGTCCCCTCTTGTCTTAAAATCTGTGAATTGTCTTTAACTAGTACATTTGCCCAAAGCATGGAGACAGAATCCACAGTATCAGATGAAGAGTCAGGGTCTGGGGGACAAGAGGTGGTGAGGAGGCAGAAATGACTCAGAAGTTTGATGGAGAGTGATGCGGAGAAGGAGCTGCTGCTTATGAAAACAAAGAAGTCAGAGAAAGGAAGTGCTTGGGAGAAACAAAACCACAGACCCAGGACAGGAGGGAGGTCGTGGTTCCCTCTGTGAGTCAGTTGACAGTATTATAAACATCTTCTCAAGCCTCCCTTCTCCCTTCTCCCCATAGGCTCCACTAGTCTAGCAAGGAAGAGAGTGGAAGAGCCCTCAATTCCTCATTCTCTTCCACTTCGTATACAATGAACAAATTCACAGTTATGCCCCTTCTTTCTGTGACCCTGGTCCATCATGACAGTGAAGTTCAGTTGAAGACTCAAGATGACTAGTTGATGCCAACCCATCGTTGTCCTTCCTTCCTCATACCCCAGGCCCTCACTCTCTGATGAAGTATTTTATTCTTATGGCCCCAAATTTATCTGTCACTGACCCAACCCTGCACAAAGCCCTTCCTCATGTATCCACCCTCCTTCATGTGAATTATAACTGTCTCCACCTGACCATCCATAACGTTGATGATCCCACTGGGCTAATCTCTCCAGCCCCAGCAAAGCCAGCTCTTCCCTGAAAACCAAAATCATCCCAGTTGACCACATCCCCTCACCAGACCCACACAGAATCTGAGTAACTACCACACTTGTGCCTTCTCATGGGCAGCTCCCTGAGCTAACTAGAACATAGCAGACTCCTTTTAAACCTCCTAGACCATGATAATGACGAAGACTTCTTTCTGCCTCATCCCACTCAACTGTGAATGTGTTTTTGTTGTAGGATTTGTGTAAGGGTTACATGAGAATTCCTCATAAACCACTTAGATTACTGATTGTCTCATCATCTAGGGGTTGGATTAATGACGGAGTTTTATCAGTGTTTATATCAATACTTCCCTACAGAATAGCCCATACAGAGTGGTTCTCTTCTCAAAACAGCAATAGGTTCTTACATTCTTTTACTGAAAATTTCCCCATTGCCTGAAAGATAAAATCCAAGAATACTCACAGGGTGCACAAGAGCCTCTGTGAAGAGGGTGCAGCATTACCTGATTACTCAGTTCTTAGACTAGTTTACCCTCTTCCTGATCAAGGATGCTGGCCTCTCACCACACTTGTGCTAACCATACCTTGTCCTGCTCTCTCCTTCTCCAGAAGGTCCCCACACTCCATCACCAAGGTTGCTAGACGTCCACCAGTTACTGAGTCTCTCTGCTATCAGTTTTTCTTTTTCTCTACAACTTACCAAAACTATAGCCAAATTATCCATTATCTAAATATCTGTATTTTCTGTTGTCCCTAATCAGAGCTCCATGAGCCCAGGGAGTGAATCTGTCAGCTTCACCAACAAATCTCATGCCTGGGCATGGTAACTGCTCGATAAACCCTGGTTGATGCCGGGATGGTGGAAGGAACCAAGAAAATTTGTAGGATGTAGAGGGAGAGCATGTGGGGCCTGGAGAGCCTCAGACCTGGTCTGGAAGGTTCCCAAAGCCTGTTGTTTTCTCAGCTCCATTTTTCATGGAGAAGAGAGCAAGGACTTGGGAGGGGCTGTTCCCTTTCCTCTGAGGCTGCTGTTGAAGAACCTGTGACGTGTCACATGAAGCCAGGATCTTGTCACTCCCTGTGTGTCTGTCTGTCCTCCTTGGCTCTGTGGACTTTTAAAGTTGTCTGTACAGCTGGGAGCATGGGAGGCAAAGCCAGGACACCTACCCTCACTGTCCTTCTCTGCCTTGGTAAGTTTTTTGGAAAAGAAGAGGGATAGGGTTGCCTCTACTCCCAGGACTTGGTCTTGAGACCCCAGGACTCAGGAGGCTCAGTGGAGGAGGCAACTTCTTGGTGGAGGGAGACTCTACTCAGCCACAGATCTGACCCCCAAACTCAAGGGCCTCCACCAGGGTTAGAGCTTCTATGAGTGGGTGAGTGGATACACTCTCACAGGAAAATCTCTTCCAGGGCTGTGTTGGAGCCCATGGAACCAGGTACAGACAGGTGAGTCCTCCCCCAAACCCTCTGCTGCAGCCCATTGACCCCCCAGGAAGCTTGAGTGAGGTCAGAGGGTCTAGGCTGAAGTGACCAGTCTGGGAAGGGCCTTGAGTGATGGCTGGGGAAACTGAAGAGAGAAAGGCTCCCCTGACACTTCAGGTCTGATTCCTTTGCAGGAGCACCCCCCAAACCCTCCATTTGGGCTGACCCAGGACCCATGCTCACCAGGGAAAGCCCAGTGACCATCTGGTGTCAGGGGTCTCTGCAGGCTGTTTTCTACCATCTGTATAAAGGTGGAGTCTCTAAACCCTTGGTTACAGAGACCCCACAGGACTCCAGCAACAAGGCCAGATTCTCCATTGAATCTATGAGCTCACAGACTGCAGGGCTGTATCAGTGTGCATACAACACCAGCAGGAATGGCTGGTCAGAGCGCAGTGACCCCCTGCCCCTGGTGGTGACAGGTAAGGGGGAGGAGCTGGGTCCCCTCTCACTGTGGGCTCCTCCTCACAGGCAGAAGGGAATGAAGTGTGGAATCCAGGGACCTCAGCCCTCACAGTCCACACCTGGGGTATGTGGGCTGACGGTCCCCCCTTTAACACAGCTCCCTCCTTCTCCCTCAGGAGTGTACAGTGCACCCTCCCTCTCAGCCCACCCAGGCCCTGTGGTGGCAAAAGGAGGGAACGTGTTCTTAACCTGTAGCTCAGAGTCCACACTGGGCATTTTCCATCTGCTGAAGGAGGGAGCAGCTGACCTGCCACAACACATGGAATCAAGGACTTATCGTGGGAGGTGGCAGGCCCTCTTCCCTGTGGGCCCCGTGAACACCTCCCATGGAGGAACTTACAAATGCTATGGTTCCTCCAAAGCCTACCCCTATGTGTGGTCACTCGCCAGCAATCTTCTACATCTTGAGGTCACAGGTGAGGGCCCCCACAACCTATCTCTTTCCTGGGACTCCAAAATGACTGACCTAAGATGTGTGCCCAGTAAAGCCCTATGGGGGATGGGGTTCAGTGACATGGCCTTCTGGGACCTGAACCACAGAGCACAATGTTTTGGGGGGTAGACCAGTGAGAAATATCACTGAAGGCCCCAGTAGGCAATGTTGGGTATGTGTCCCCTATGATGCTTCTCTCTAGGTGTGTACAGGGAGCCCTCCCTCTCAGCCCAGCCTGGCTCGCTGGTGCTCTCTGGAGACAACCTGACCCTCCAGTGTCACTCAGAGGCCGGCTTTGATAGTTTCGCTCTGACCAAGGATGAGGGGCTCACACCCCCCCAGCATCTTTGCGGGCAGCACAGCCCCAGCTTCCCCCTGGGCCATGTGAACCACACCCATGGGGGCCAGTACAGATGCTACAGTGGATACAACCTCTCCTATGTGTGGTCAGCCCCCAGTGCACCCCTGGACATCATGATCACAGGTGAGGAGCCCCATGTCCTGATTGTCAGCTCAGGGTGTTGGGCCCAGGGTCTCCCCTGGTGGTGATGGGGTCCAGAGAGAGGGTCCTGGAGCAGGGACTGAGAAAGGGCAGTGGTCTAGGGAGAGTGAGTAAGAAAGGGGGAGTGAGGGGCAAGGAGATAAAAGAGATCCATCCAGAGGGACTGAGAGGAGCTGAGAGGGAGTCACTGACAGAGTCCCTGGAGAAAGGACAGTGGTCCCTGAGCTCAGGGTCAAGGGTATAAGGGAGACAAGGCTCTCTACACATCACAACTCTCCTCTCCCCAGGAATGTATGAGAAGCCCTCCCTCTCCACCCAGCCGGGGCCCTCAGTGTCCTGGGGAGAGAAGGTGACCCTGCAGTGTCGCTCTGAGATCTGGTTGGATACTTTTCATCTGTCCAAGGAAGGGTCACTTGCTCCTCATCAGCACCTTCGTCTGGAGGACACCAATGAACCCTTTCAGGCCAACTTCACCATCAACCCTGTGACCTCAGACCATGAGGGGACCTACAGGTGCTACAGTTCAGACAGCACCTCCCCCTACCTGTTGTCGCTCCCCAGTGACCCCCTGGAGCTCCTAGTATCAGGTGAGGAGCCCCAGCCTTGTCCCTTCTGTCCCCATGTTCTATTTGGGGCCCTGTCTTGGAGATATTCTGGGCTAGGATGAGAGTGAAGGTCATCTCTGGATCTTCCCCTCAGAGGCCCTCCCAACCCTGCCCACCCCCTTCCTCCTCACCTGTATCTAGAAGGTGCAAGGTGGACAGTGGGACAGTCTTGAGAGGGGAGCATGGGGCAGATGCAAAGGAAGAGTTTGAGTAAGGTGGGGACTTCGGGGTCGGTCCCAGCCCCTTATTCCCTTCCTGTCTTCAATCTCAGGACCTTCTGGGGACCCCAGTCCCCCACGCACAGGACCCATCTCAACAACTGGTGAGTCACTGAAGACCCTTTGCTCAGAGGGAGCACAGATTATGCAGGGCAGTTCTGAGAGTTTCTCAGAGGGTGTGATACCCCTTCAGATGCTCAATGACAGGCTTGTCTCCCAGGGGAGCTAGGAGGTGGACAGAAATGCCAGGGGACCACAGGGCTACAGGGGCTGTAAGGCTGACAGATGATGCATGGACAGTCATGGTAGAGGGAGATGCTGGGCATCCACCCTGTGGGAGGGGCAACTGGACTGAAGAGGGAAAATGGCAGCCCCCCTTCACCTGCCTCCTCTTTGGTTTATGATACATGAGTGAGATCCACTGGGGGAGTCTCAGTGACTCTTCAGATGGTGATTTTGGACAGGTCCCTGGGGCCTGAGCTCCTGGTCTGTGGTGGGGAACCCCTGACCATGTCCACTCTGAGCTCAGAAGCTCTTCTCTGGGTCCTATCCAGAGGAAAGTCTGAGACATGGTGGAAATAATTGAAGCACAGGGGACGTTTCATAGATGAGGGTCCAGCCCATGAGAGGGGGATATAGGTGGGAAGCTGCCACCTCTGGGACACCCCATCCCTGCAGTCTCAGATGTGGCTGAGGAAGGGAGAGGGGTGGAATGAGACTCAGTGAAATGAGGAAGATTTGAAGTTTCTCATTTCTCATTTATTGGAGGAAATGAGATTAGACTGAGGTTTCAAAACAAAGGTCCCCACCCACTGACTTCCTTGTATCATAATCACAGCATCACTAAACATCAGGAGACAGGAGCATGGGGAGAACCCACAGAGGCACCTTTGAGATGGGACTGAGTCTGTGTTGGCTCAGCTCTCCTGGGAGGTTGAACATATGAGAAAGTCTTTCCCCATCTGAGTAAGTGGGGTGGCCTGGCCATGACATCCAGAGGACCCTTCATTTTCAACCTTCTGGAGTATCTGGAAAGTGGCTCATCATAGACTTGCTTCTGGTCCACCCCTCTCTGTGCCTGTCCTGCTTCTCCCAGTAACTCTGACCTTGTCAGGATTAAAAAGCTGAGGGAGACAGGAATCAAGTTCATGTGATTTTTATCCATCAGGCCTAGAATCTCACCTTAGCGAGAAGACATAGTGTTGTGGAGACTGCAAAGATTTGGAATACCCATTGATTGAGCATCTCAACCCAGTTTTGACCAGTTTTGGAAAATGTGTGGAGTAGAAGGAGAGGGGAAGGTTTGCAGCATTTGGTGTCCAGGACTGACTTGGAATCCAGGGAAGATGCTGGACTGATGGAGGTGGGCAGGCTGGGGGAGTTGCAGAAGGGATAGAAGGGTGCTCCCTTGGCAGCTCCTATTTCTTATTCCTAAGAGACCCTTAGATGAAACTCCTCATCCTCATCTATGAGGCGTCCCTGAGCCCTCTCAGACCAGGAGAGAAGACTGTTCAGGCAAGGTGGGATCTGTTTTGGGTGCCAGTGGAGCCTGCACTAGACACTCTCCTATAGAGGGAAACATGCCCGCCTGTGGGTACCAATCTGCATGACCCTCCTGTGCTCACCTGGAGGCCTCCATGCCACTCAGTGCACACCTGAGAGTAAGGAGGGACCATGCATGGTTCACTGCAGTCACTTGGATTACTGTATACCATGTCTGTGTTCAGTTCCTGTCTACTCTGCATTTTCTGTGCACATTCCTCTATTATTGCTCTCTCCTTCTCTGAGAATTTTTACAGCAATGCTTGCCTATATAAATTTACAAATTTAAGTTAAAAATTTTCATGACTTAAAAACAGGCAGTTCTACTACTATTTTCATTGGGTTTAGATTAAATTTATACAGTCATTCTGGAGAACAATTTCTTATTAATATGAAGTTTTCTTATAAAAGATGTTTAAAAGGACTTTTATTAATGACCTCAGATGCATTTTGAAGTTTTATTCATAAAATTGTCTACACTCACAGTGGAAGAATTATTCATAGACTTTATTAAATTATGAAGAAACTCTTTGATTTCTTTATAATTTCTAAATAATAGTTAATACAGATAACAATGATATTGGTTTGGTTACATTAATTTTATATCCTATTAACTTACTACAGTTTATCCGACTTTGAATTATTTTTCAATTGATCTCTGATTTACTGATAATAAGTATATCAACCTCAAGATAATTGAAATTTCACTTCTTTATTTCCACATTGTGTACCAATTTTATTTGCATGAAATGCCATATGATAACGATGACAAAGCAAACTGTTACAATGTACTTGTGTCACTTTAAGAAAACATCGTCATTTTTAGCCAAAATTATTTTAATTCAACCACATCAAAAATCTATTTTTGACCTATCCATGTTCAGTCCATTTTTCTGTTACATTCAAATTTTATTAGAAAAAAATACCCTTATCTTCATAAAAATAAGGAAGGTTTTTTCTGGACTTTGGTACATCTCTGGAATTGTTTTCTCTTTAATTTTAACCATGGTGAGATATATTTAAAAGACTTCTTAGGAGAAGTTCGGTCAAGGTGGTGGCATAGACGGACTCTGAACTCCCCACCTCCCACAAGCACAACAAATTTACAACTACTCTTGGAACAATTGCCCCTGAGAGAGAACTGAAAATTGGATAAAAAGAACTCCCACAACAAGGGACAGTGCTGACTGAAGTGAAAGAAGCCAAAAATCCTTTCTGGAGAGAAAAAAATCCCACCTTCATGAGCCATGGAGATTCACAGTCGGCCTGGAGCAATCCTAAGTTACCCAGCCTTCCCTGAAGGAGAGGGGATCTGAGTGGGGGAGTGTTGCAGCTACAGTTAGGAGCAAGCAGCTTTTGGACTCAGCACAACCAAGATGAGTGCCGTAATATCCAGCTTTACTGGCTATTAACTGCAAAGGGGAATATCCCTAGAAATGCTATCAGATATAAGCAGAGGAAAGCAAGCTCTTAAAGGGCCCATGCATAAATTCACCTGTTTCAGAAAGCAACCTAAAATCACCAGAAAGAATGGTGCACAGTCCTTTTGTGAAAAGAGACTCACCTGATAGGCTCTGGGTGCATATCACTGAGAGGTGCGACCTCTCCAGGGACTGAGACATTGGCAGCAACCATATTGAGACCTAGTACAGGCGTGCTGACACAGACACTGGCAGACATCATTGGAGTTCTTCTCCTGGCCTGTTAGTCTAGGGTCTGCCCCACCCACTAGAGCACTGATTTAATCTAGCTCAGCCAGGAAAGGCAGCCTGCCCTAGGGACTTGCCCCACCCAAGATCAAACACTTGGGCAACTTTGGGGCCTGCATAGGCAAGGTGCCTGGAACCTCTTCAGCCTCGTTAGTGGGTCTGACTTGTGGGGCAGGGCATGCATGAGGAGTGGGTGGAGTGTGTGGGGGCATTGGTGGTGTGGGAGGTCTTTTCAGTGGAATGACTGGGTCAGCTTCAGTGGGTCAGGGTACACACATGGAGCAGGACTGTGTTGATGGGGTGTGTGGCCTAGTGTGCAGTGGGGCTTGTCAGCTGCAACAGACTTGTGCTTCTCAAACAACCACATAGGGGATCAGCCCCACCTTCCAAAGCTTGAAAAAACTGGGTACTCCCATGCCTGTGGTCAGCTCCACTCAGCAGCAATCCTGAGACAGCTGACAATAACCTTGCAGGCTGGAGGCCTACAGCAATTGTAAGACCCTGAGGCTATCAGCCAACCATGCTGGGAGCCTACTCACTTAACAGAAAAACTGAAACAGGAATGTGCTATTAGACCTTGCAGCCAACTGCACTGAGGCTCCCTAAACTTGATAAAGCAACTGAAGCCTCCATAGCAGCCAAACAGAGTTAAGCATTACAATCCAAAAGACAGGGGGACAGCCTAGCCTCCCTGGGCACCTTCAGCAAGAGCAACCCTGCCACAACAGAAGGACACATGTAGCCCACACAGGTGGTACTCCTGGAACAACCGGAACCAGTGAAGAGAAGGAAGCATACAGCTGGGCCTCATAAGGCATCTCTTACATAAGGCCACCTCTCCAAGATCAGGAGATGTAGCTAACCTACCTAATACATAGATATAAGCACAGAAAAGGGACAAAATGAGGAGAGAAATGCATTCATTCCAAGTAAGGAAACAGGACAAAACTCCAGAAAAAGAACTAAACCAAACAGAAATAAACAATCTACCTGACAAAGAGTTCAAACAAAAGCAATAATGATGCTTACTGATCTTGGGAGAAGAAGGGATGAACTCAATGAGAACATCAACAAAGATCAGAAAATATAAAAAATAACCAGAAGAATACAACAGTGGAAACGAAAAATTCACTAGAGGGACTCAAGAGCAGAGTAAATTATACAGAAGAATGGATCAGTGAGCTGGATGAAAGACTAGAGAAAACCATCCAAGCTGATCAGATTAAAAAAAAAGAATTTAAAAGAGTGAGGACAATCTCAGGGACCTCAGGAACAACATTAAGCACACTAACATCTGCATTATAGGTGTCCCAGAAGGAGAAGAGAGAGGCAAACAGACAGAGAATCTATTTAAAGAAATAATAGCTGAAAACTTTCCTAACCTAAGGAAGGAAACAGACATCCAGGTACACGAAACACAGAGCACAAAACAGAATAAACCCAAAGAGACCCACACCAGGACACATTATAATTAAAATGTCAAGAATTAAAGATAAAGAGAGAAGCCTAAAAGCCACAAGAGAAAGGCCACAAGTTACATACAAAGGAAACCACATCAGTGGACTTCTCAGCAGAAACGTTACAGGCTAGAAGAGAGTGGCATAAGATATTTAAAGTCCTGAAAGGAAAACACGTACATTCAAGAATACTCTACCCAGCAAGGTTATTATTCAGAATAGAAGGAGAGATGAAGAGTTTCCCATATATGCAAAAAGTAAGGGACTTATAACCAAGAAACTGGCCTTACAAGAAATGCTACAGGGACCCATTTAAGTGGGAAAGAGAAGACCACAAATAGGAATAATAAAATTATCCCCAAAAAAGCAACAAGAGGGGCTGGCCCCGTGGCTGAG